TTTTTTTATTTTTTATATTGAATTAATTAAATTATTTTATTTTTTTTAAACAAATTAGCAAATTAATTAAATAAATCAGATTATTTCATAATTCTAATTTTAAAGCCCAAATCATTTTTAAAGCTCATTAGCCCATTTTAATTTGAAGCAAATTAATATACTTTATGTAGTGTTGCTGTAATATTAATATTTACTTTTTGATATTTGTATGCATTGAATTAATCTTATTGGACAGTTATTTATTTATATGTTTTTGAATTGGGTTACGTTAATTTGTAAAAGTTACGAATGAAATGTCATTAGTTATATTTATGTAGTGTTGCTGTAAATATTAAAAAATTTAATTATGGTACGGAATCGAATCGAACCGAACCCGAACTGTTCCATAATTATATTTGGACCCGACGGTTCCATTTATTAAATATCAGAAAGTTTTGGGTCGGTTCGGGTCTCTTCAGAATCGAACCGAACCGACCCACTGACAGCTCTAGGGGGAAGTGACCCCCCCAAGGTCCGCCCATGGATGTGTGTCTTACGGAACACGTGCATAATAAGCGTATAGTAAGCTGTGAGTTCTACTAATGTATCGATAAAAATTAGTTTACATTAAAATTTAAGTTTTGCCAAACATACACTATCCATACAATATTTGACTATAAAATTGCTTTTCAATGCATGTTTGGTAGGTGATTAATTATAATCACTCACGGTCAAACTTACTTTTATCCACATATTTATTGTACCCACGATTACTACTCATTTATTATCCATACATTTCGCGAGACCATAGTTTACAATCACTTTAATTTAATATCATTTAATTTAATCACCTACCAAACATGCACTATCTCGGATAGTAAATGATGAAAATAAATTCATGTAGTAAACTTTAAATTAGAAGACCAAATTCACTAATGATAATATCAATTGGAGAAAACAATACATATCAACTTCATGCCAATTCAGATAGGCAGTTAAAACTGATATTCTCTCTTAACACAAGAATTCATTGCTCTTCTTATTGTTTTCTCTCTCCACTTTGAAATTTTCAGCAGCAGATTATTAACTTCTAATACTTCAAATAACTGAAAAAGCAGGCATCCCACTAATTTTTACACCAATTTGGAGGACGGAACCATCTATTCTTACGAAGACAGGGTTTCTTGAAGACCGCTGGATTGTTGGTTGGAATTGGTGTCGGAGGTGACTGGTAAACCGGTGTTTTATGATATGGGAACCATGGTAGAAGAGGTTTTACTGGTGATGTGTAGGTTGCACTTGGTGGAGGAGTTGGCTGGGGAGCTGGTGATAGAGGTGGCATTGCGGGTGGCTGTGGTTTTGGCTGGTCAACAGACGGAAGAGGTGGCGTTGGAATTACAGGTGGAAATGGAGGTAAAAACCATGGTTGGCCAAAGTAGTTCCATAGTAAGTGTTTCTTCCATTTCCAATAAGAAATTGGATCGAAAAATGGCCATAGGAAATCAGAAGTGCAAAACACAGAGGAAAATTTCAGAATTCCCTTTGGTTTCAATATGTATTTTCCATCAGTTTTTGATTTGAAAACTACAATCCTGGAATCCTCTATGCCATTGTAGGCTGGACATGCAGCGGATCCACTTTGAAGTTGTGCATAGCATTTCCCCTTGAATTTTCCTTCATGGAGAATTCCCTCGTGAAGTAAAGCTTTGAATTTTCCATTTCCGTCAACTTTTCCTTCCCCTCTTCTTTTTACTTCTCCATTCTTAAGCATGCAATCGATTGTTACATAAAGCCCTGCAAAACACGGAAGTAAGTTTTAGTATATACGAGCCATCAAACCATGAATATATGTTTTTGACACGTTTGTATGCACTGGTGGATACTGTGGCGGATTCAGCACTGAACAATTTTTTTCTTTTACAAATAATTATTTTATACGTTAAAAAATTTTATGTCACTATATCTGTCACTGCTGGACACTAGATGACAAACATCATTTTATGTTGAACAGGAAAGGATTAAAGAATAGAAAATTGTGACATGTGTATCCAATATTGTCGAATCGAGCACGCGCCAAGAAGAGCATATATTTTTACCTGAAAATACTTGACTGGGCTTGATGTTACTCCCTTTGCAATCAGCACACTCTACAATTCCAGAAACTTCGATTTTCTTGTTATGAGCATAGCAAAAATGCACTACAAATGCAAAGAACAAAGAACAAATAAGGGAATGAACCCACATTGGAACCTCCTTTGAGAACTTAAGAAAACCCTGCAATGGACAACTCACAAGGCCTTTGTTATACATGGAGAGTGAGTGAATGATTGATATTTATAGAGCGGGAGGAAGTTACTCACGTGCAAAAACTCTGATGTGAACTTAGAGCATGTTTGGCTGTGAGTAGAAAAGTAACCTTTTTAATTTGAAAAAAGTGTCATCTTTAGTAATATAAGTACCTTAAAAGTGACTTACATTTGAGCATAGCCAAACATGTCAAATAAAGTTTGACTAAACTAAAAATTAAAAGAAATTGGTTCATTAAAAGCGTAGTTATCTTCATTGAAATAATGCTACCTATCACCAACTGCAATTAACACAAGTCAATGTGAGAGTGAGGCCAATGCAACATTAGCATTACCCGTCATTGAATGAGTTTAACTACATAATTCCGTCTTTATCTACTAATCCTACTTACCAACTCTCATAAATTATACGTTGATTTACAAATTATTGATTTTATTTTTATTTTTGATGTATAGCTCGGAGACATGAAACAAAAAATTCGTTTATGCGCGACAAGGTTTTGAGGGGTTCATTCAAGATTTTACCGTATTTATATTATTTCGTTCTAGAGAAAGTATTAGTCGTATTAGAATTTTCCTTTCCTAAATAGAAAGATGTACATCAAGCCGTTCGATATATACCATCAAATAAAGTTACATTTATTAGTAGGAAAGACAATTACATTTATTAGGTATTTTAAGTCAACTTCATATTAATTTCACATGAAATGTTTTGTAAATAAATGTCACCTAAATTTGGTCTGGATTTATATAATCCATTGTAATTATGACTAATGGGCTCGGCTATTTTGTGTATACAAGAGATAAACATACACACATAATTTCGATACTTGAAATCTACTATTTTGACATGGATCTTGAGTATAAGAAGTCGGTTTGACGTCATTGTGATGTCTTAAATGAATTTCACGATGAAATTAGCAATGTACATGAAAAATAATAGCTAGAAGAAAGAAAATCGGTGCTACACTATGCAAGTTGTATGTATAACACATGTTTTCGCAAGCTAGATATACATAGACATAGACAATTGCGATACTCAAAATCTACTATTTACTCTGCGGATCTCAAAATCTACCATTTACCCAGCGGATCTCATGTCGAAGAAGTAAGCTTGATGCCGGAGTAATGCCTTACATATAGCATTATGAGGATAGAATTAGCAATCATGTGAAAGCAAACCGCTGCTCCGATATGTTAGTTGTATGTGAAGCGAATGTTATGCGAGTTGGATGTAGAGTGTATTGTAATCGTCTTTGTGTGTACGATGGGCATCACTATTTATAGGAGTTTAAATTGTTGACACGTTAGTGAGTTTCTTTGGATAGAGCGTCAATTAATAAGAACGACGACTATAATTGATGGATATCCGTTATTCTTTCATTATATATTATCCAAAAGTTTCTGACATTTAAAGTAGTTTGTTGAGTGTGTTTGATGACCTAACTAGGCATATGATATAACTAATCAAGTTGCACCTTTCAGAGTGAATTGTCCAAATAGTCACTGAACTTTAAAAATCACTCAAGTCATCATTGGACTTTGTAAAAGGTTTTCACGAGATCACCGAACTTTAAAAATCACATCATTCATTACTAAACTTTGCAAAAGGTGTTTCTTAGGAGATCACTAAATTAGTGACCCCTGAGAAACCTTTTACAAAATTTAGTGATGAATGATGTGATTTTTAAAATTCAATGACCTCGGGAAAATCTTTTGCAAAGTTCAGTGATAACTTGGGTGATTTTGAAAGTTCAATGACCTCTTGAAAACACGACGTAAAGTTCAGTGACTATTTGGGCAATTCACTCCACCTTTCATTATAGCCTGGTTTATGATATTAGAGCATTTTCAGAGACTCTTTAAGCATAAGATCTTTTATTTTTAAAGAGTCGATCCTTAAATTATAGTCTAAAAGACTCTTCAAATTAAGTGTTAAAGGTAAAGATGTTGAGATATTTAATTTTTTACCCTCTAAATTTATAGAAAGGGTAATTGGCGCAAAACGTCCCTACTTATGACGGGTCTTGTGGAAAACGTCCCTACATTTGATTTTTTGGTGCAGAACGTCCTTACCTTTGTATTTTCTTGTGCAAAACGTCATTTTCACCAAATTTTAACGTAAAATGACTATTATACCCTCCTATATAAATAAATAAATAAATAAGAAAAGAAAAGAAAAATAAAGAATGAATTGCAATCATACTACTAATCTTTTTAAAAAATGCAAATGAGTCAAAAATTTATAAAAATATTAAAAAAAACAAAACAAACTTTCTTCTCCTCCAACCGCCTCTTCTCCTCCAACTCTCTTCTCCCCTTCATGCATGGTGCCTGCTACAGCAATACCAATAGCAAAAATAATAAAAAGTTCAAAGCAATTGACTTGCAGAAGCTCATTCAAGACTCCCCCAAAGAATTTGATACCAAAGATTCTCCCGCTTCACTTCCGAGTATATTTTATTTTATTCTTTTACTGGATCTGCGATTTGAAGTTTACTGGGGATGAATTATTGATTTTTTGGATATTCAGGGCCTTTAACGTTTGCCCAACTGTCTAATTTGAGCTCAGGAGTAAAGGAATCGGGCATACCTCTATTTTTTCTTCTTCGGGGTCAAGAATCGCCGGTAGTCACGGAGGCAAAGTAGCTGGTCAACTGGTCTAGGGCTCGAATCGAACAGCTGCTGTCCTGCGGAACTTTATGGACTCAGGGAAGGAGGTGGCAAAGTAGCTGCGGCCTGCGAGACCTGAGTCGGAGGAGGCGAAGGGAGGTGGAGAAGGCTGAATCGAAATGGAAGCTGAAGGCCGGAGCTGTAAGAATGAAGGTTTCAATCAAGACCGACCTAATGATCCTTCGTGCCTTCCATTTATAAACCCCAATCGCCTTTTCTGCGATTGAGATTAAATTGATTTTCTGTTATTGAGAATTCAAAGATGGTGGAGATAATGAGTCAGAGTTGGAAGGGGTGAACTTTCTGGAGGCTTGATACCAAAGGTGGAGGTCAATTTTAGGGTGGTTTAGCAACTGGAGGTGGAGGGGAATTTTCAGGCGGCATCGATGTTGGCGACGGTGGACGATGTAGAGGAGAGAGATTTTTTTTTTGTTAATTTTAATGTTTTTATAAATTTTGGTCTCATTTGCATTTTTAAAAAAGATTAGGAGTAAGATTGCAATTTATTCTTTATTTTTCTTTTCTTTTCTTATTTATTTATTTATATAGGAGGGTATAATAGTCATTTTACGTTAAAATTTGGTGAAAAGTATGTTTTGCACAAGAAAATGCAAAGGTAAGGACGTTCTGCACCAAAAAATCAAACGTAGGGACTTTTTCCACGAAACCCGTCATAGGTAGGGACGTTTTGCGCCAATTACCCTTTATAGAAACTCTATAAATTGCTAAATACACTCTTTTAAAAATGGAGTCCTTCGAAGTTGCTCTTAACCAATAAACCATCGTCTAGAACCAAGTGAAATGACATTATTGAGGTATGATTGACTTGTCAATGTAAATCCACGTGTACTTGTTGGGTATCCACACCATATCTTGGGGTGGATTTAGGGCTCAAGCCCAACAAATTGGTTCAATTAAAAAGGCCCAATGATAATTATGATTCGGAAGGGGTATTAACTAGGAATTTTAATTAAAGTCCTAAATTATAATAATAATTACACATTGTCTTTCCTTGTGGAGAAAGGGGAAACAGTGAGTCTCACTAGATATATGTGATAAATAGAGGGAAAAAAATTGTATGTGAGGCACCAATGAACCCCAAATTGAAGATAGCCTTATATGGTTTAAAGCGTGGCCGTTTGTTGAATCATCAGATCTCCCCATTGACATATAGAGTTAAAAAATCATTAGCCCAAGATTTTTATTTCGATCTTCAACTACTTCTGAGGGGGTCTCATGCTACGATACAAGTAGAATACACAGGGGTAGTCACAGTTGGAATTCTAGTTTTCGTCGACCAATCTATTTTCGTCTTGTATATGATAGGCAACTCAACAAGACTCTTCCCTTAATTAGGTTGGGTGACAACCTCTCGGCCACCCGTCATAGGTAGGGACGTTTTGCGCCAATTACCCTTTATAGAAACTCTATAAATTGCTAAATACACTCTTTTAAAATGGAGTCCTTCGAAGTTGCTC